CAAGATTATCACCAGACATACAATCAAGCAGTAAACAATATCCTAATCAAGGAACTACCAGGAAAAAAAAGCAAAACCAACACACGCAGGGCAAGCCACTGTATATAAACAGAGAGCAAAGTCCGCTCCATTCTAGCATGGAAGATGTTACCTAGCTGGGTAACAAAACATTTGCAAGAAAACAGCCAAGCTCAGAGAACCCCAAGGACTCCACAGTTAACCCTGAGCTACACATATTCTTTTCTATCTGTGATTAGTATAGTTATACATGTCTCAAAAATGTTTTGGAAGAATGGCTTCTGACCTTGCCTGATCACAACACCTGCCTGCTGTTTGTTAAAGCAGCCAGTCTTTCACACAAGTCCAAAGCACTGCTTCTGAATCATTTTTCAAAATGTGCTGAGTCATAGAGGTTAATAACATCCAAAATGAAATGAGAGAGATGTTTTACATTCATGGAGAATATAGAACGAGAGGCAGACAATTTAGGAGAGACAAGTGTTGCTGTAACCAAGGTTGGAGATGGATGTAAATAAGTAAATAAATACATTCCTTCCTGTTGCCAAGATCTGTTTCTTCAAATATAACTCATAAATGTTACAGTGTTAAAAGGATGGCTAAAGTTTCAAGGAAGAAGAAATACATTTTTAAACTACAAGAATAATCGCATTGTCATGTGTATATGTTATATGTGTATTTTTAATATATGATATTTATATTGTATTTTTAATCCCTGTTAACTGCCCAGAGTCTCATTTGTGAGATGGGTGGCCATATAAATTTACTTACTTACTTAAATAAATATTTAATATATATTTAAATATAGCATTTAATATATATTTAAATATAGCATTTACCATGGCCACTTTCCTCTGACTTATCTGAGAAGGCTTTACAAAAATGAAGAGAGTGGCACAAATACATAGTAAAAAAAATTCTTAGCGTGCAGTATTGAGAATGATGCTTTATGTAGTCATTTACCTAAAAGGATCCCTGGTGGGGATTGATCTTCGAAGCCCTTGCTTATGTGCATTTTTGTGTGTTACAATCAAAATCTTCATTTATTTTCTTGTGTGATTGGGGAACTATAGATGTTTTCCAATTTAACCTTGTGTTAAGAAAATTAGCTTCATTTAGGCATGATCTGAGAAGACAAAATGAATTAGTTGTTTGCACAACCAAAGTAGTTTGTTTGGTATTGGTTTAGGGTGCTCTATCAATCCATCCATTTTGGTTTGAAATGGCCTAGTTGGAAACCATAAATTATGGCTTAGTGTGGAGATGTCTCCCTGAATCGCTTAAATTACTTCACATTACACTGTTATTTTCCCATGTTTTCATATACATTTGTTGTGGTACTTGAATTATTATCTGCAGTACTGCTGATTATCTTGCAGGTATTTTTAACTCAATTGTAATTTCTTTTCATGCTTTCATGTAAACTATTCTAGTAGCCTTTCTGGCTAAAGAGTTTTGGATAAGAAAGAAATTAAAGAAAGATACTTGATGATTATAAAAGTGCTTTAGATAGAAAAATGATGAGAATGTTTATTGTGTTTTACTAAGATTTTTATATAATTTAGATATAGTCACCATTCAGCCTTAATTTACAATTGCAGTGTCCTGTAAATAGCTGAATCTGGAAATGAGACTACTATATTTTGCCGTGTCAAAAAAGATTTCTACATGAAATCCTAAAATTCATAACTTCGGAAATAACAGTTGAAAAGTGAGAAATCATCTCTTCAATTTTGTAGTACTTGGCTTTATTTCTACAATGGCTAATAAATTAATCCCCCCGCCCC